AATTTAATTTTAGCACCTTCTAATCTTTGCCTGAGAGGCTTTCTCACTTATATCCAGCTACCAGTATCTCTAGCCCTCCTGGCCAGGGGACCCAATGTTCACAGACTCAGAGGGTGCTGTAACCTATGTCCCCTAAGTGATGGATAATTAACACGTCTTTTTGGTCTTCCTATGTTTCCCAAAGTCCATTTTCTCTGCCGTAAGAGCCGGGAAGACTTCATGGGAGTGTGGACTCTGTCCCTCTGTGTGCTTACTAAGCTGCTGCTTGTTAGGTTGGTTGCTTTGTTTACCTTATATGTAAATGTACTTTCATTTTCCTCTGCTTATAATCAAGCCAGTCAGACAGGGGAATACATATTCCTTTGCTAGGGCAGGCTCAATGTATGCACTGCCTCCCAAACACATTTTAAAGAACATACTTCCAGCACACACATAACTCTTGTACACAATTCATGCATGTATCAGATAGTGATTTTGGGGCCCAATTTACCTGTTTACATATGATACCTTACATGATACCTTTTAGATACATATTATGACAACAGTGTGTTGGGGATAGTGAGTGTGTCAGTCCTGATATGAGTTACAATATAGCAGACTCTAAGGGTCATACTACTGTCATCCCCCTTCATTTTTAAAATAGTTTTATAGCATGGGTTTCTGAAATAATTCAGGGCAGATAATTATGCTGAGAAAACTGGGCACAATGGATGGGGTTGTTTTAAGTTTAATATTCAATATTTATCAGTATATATATAATTCAGGAACCATACTCCATTTTAAACTAAGCACGTTTTGACATTTACTTGGGTACTGTGTAAGATTGTGTATCCGTAATAAATGTTGCAGAGAGTCTAAGTACAGTCATTTAATATCCTACATCTTATTTTGTGGAATCCATTGTTCTGCTTTGTAGAACACTTGCAAAACCATCAAAGGCTTTTTTCTTTTTAACAAAAAAGCTGCCCTCTGTTAAAAGCCATCCTCTTGTGGCTTCATTTTTTGTATCAGGTTTTTCGCTTGAATTCTGTAGGATTGCATCTGCCTTAGAACTGTTTTCTAATTCTGCCAATGAAATTTCATTCTTAGTCTCACTGGAATTGGTTCTGTTGGCGATTGTATTTCCTTGAGCATTCTTTGACACCTTATATAAACTATGTTGCACATTTTCATTAAAAAAGCTCTGGGAATATGTTGAGAAACGTACATTCTCTTCACTCTCATGATCAGGTTGTAAGTATTTTTCTTCATTGAAAACTGATTGCATTGTCTCAGAAGAGGTAACGCAGCTTGAATCTGTCATAATATTGTGAAACTGTATTTCTTCTGTACACAAGCTAGAATTGCTTTTATCTATTCCGGACAAAACTTCTTGTTCTGTGTATTTATCACATTCCCTTTCATTAAAACCCCTGTGCATTCTTTGTGCACAAGTCCCAGACATGTTCATATGCTGTTGCTCTTGCACTGATGAGCCCTGTCTCTCAGTAACGTTTGCAACTGATTTTTCATCTGTGCTTTCCGAATGAGATTGAAGAAATGGTTCATCAGTGATTATATTGGAATGCAGAAGTGATGCTTTATTAGCAACACAGTTCCAACCAGAATCAATAGACGTGAATATAAAATTATTATTCATATGAGGAGTGTTAATATTTGCTGTAATGCCATCTTCCCCATAATTCTTCAGGGGAGAATGCTGAGCTCTATGATTTTCTTCTGTATTGATCTCAGTAACATTTTCTTTTTGATCAGTCGGGGTGGATCTGTCAAAATGCTGAGTTAGAGTAGAAAATTCACAAAGCTGCAAATAAGTGTTTTTAGAAATAATGTTCTCTTTATCTGGAAGAGCTCTGGGAGAATACTTTAATGGTGGTAATGTTACGTAATTCAAATTTATATTTTGTTTGCAGACAGGATTAGAAATTATATTCTGGGCTGGTGAATTTGGGCTGGTAACATACTCAGATATACCAGGAACTTCACAACATGGAGGATTATTTATATTTGAATCTGACAGAGTTACATGATCATCAACCTTATCAATATGAGATGTGTCCGATATATCACTGTGAGATGAATCTATATGAAGAACAGATGAATATGTTTCAGACATGCTAGTACCTGATCCAGAAATAATAGCTGTTTCAGAATACGTTTCATTCTTATTTTCATGTTTTTCCGTAATATCTTGAAATCCAGTAGAAATTATAGGACTCTGTAGCAATGTGGTAAACTTGCCAGTACCATTGTTTAAGCTAATCACCTGCTCTGTTACTGACGGGTTGGTCAGATGATCATCACCAGCATTAGAGTGCCCCAGTTCACTTTCTGTTAAAGAACTAGAATCACTCAGTGTGAATGCAGACCCTTCATCTGTGGAACTGCTGTCATTAAACATGTCCACTAGATTGTCTTTATTTCTAGTATTTTCTTCTTTACAATCATACTCTTGAATACTAGCAGAATTTTTCTGTGTTTGGTTGGTGTTTGAATTCTCAATATTTATATCACTTTCACAGCTAGGAGGTAAAATAAAATTCTCACTGTTACTGAGCATATCTATGTTGTCATTTAAATCAAGCTCTTTATCACAGTTATGCCTTTTGAGCATAAATTGTTGAGTATTCAGTGACTGAGTGTGGGAAGTCATTTGTCTCGTGTTCTCCTGCAGAGACTCTGCAATTTCAGACTGCGACAGATTAGATCTGTTGTTTACATCATTGTATTCAGAACTCTGTGCATTTGTTTGTATTTGTGCTTCAGAAAATGGAAAGTTAGTTTCCCTTGCAAATGGTGAATCTAAATCTGAAGATTCAATGTGGAGTGAGTAAGAGTCCATGTTAAATCTATTCACTATAGGAGAGAACCTGCTTTTTCCTGAATCTTCATTAAAAAGGTATTTTGAATCATCACGTGATGAAGTGTCATTATTTGATGATTCTCTTTGAAACGCTTTATTGCTACACTGGTGATCTGACATTGCAGAAAAATTTTCATTATTATCAATGTCTATATCTGCTTCACCAGCAGAATTAGTTGCTTGGCTGTTCTGAGACATCTTTTCTTTCTTTACTTTGATATAGCTGCTGCTTTGATCTTGGTTTGCTTCTTCTGTATTTAGTGCAAGTACTTTGTTATGAAGGGCAACTTTATGCAAGCTAGTAGCTTCCACAATGTAAGAGCCTACATTTCTTGAAGAGTTTCCACTACAAAAAGACAAATTTTGCTGTACGCTTGTTTGTGTGTTTGTAGTGTTCTCTCTTGTCAGGGTTTCAGCTGAAAATCCTTGATTAGAAAATGTATTTTCTGAAGCTGAGCTTTTCTTTCTGCATATTTGTCTCCAGATTCTGCCAATGTAAGGTCTAGTGAAAGCACCAAGACAAAAAGCACAAACGAATGTAATGAGCACTGAGAGACAGACTGCCAACGTGAAGTCTCCTTCTGTTCTTCCTTGTCTAATAACAGTATTGGTGTCTCTGGCATTTCTAACCAAGAACGGTGAATATTTTTGCTTCACATATATGTCATAGATGAGATATTTTGTCTTCATTCTGTTACAAATACATGCATATAGCCCTTCTGCAGTTTTCCCAATATTATAAATTATTAAGTTTTTCATATCATCCTGTCTAATATGAGGAAGCCAGTTATCCTTGGAAATTCTGCCACTGGGTGTCCACCAATAGATTTCTTCATTCCCTGAAATGAAAAAAGACAATGAAATACATATTTAAAAATGTAAATCTGTTCCTTCTTAAGGCTAAATAGTCTTCAGTGTGGTAGCCATTTCTATACAGACACTATGTCTGATATATCTTTAACAATTTTAGATGTCATTAATTCTTAAATAATAAATAACACCAATTTTCTACTTATCCCCCAACAGTACCCTAATACCCTGCCACCTTACTGTTAAACCACCATACCTCCTCATCCACACTTCCAATTTGGACCATAGTCTTTCAAACTTCCATACAGTAAATACTATAAAAGTAGAGAGGGAAATTACTGGAGTTACATCAATATGCTTTTGGTTCATATTGGAAATACTTTACTATTGAACTATGGCAGTATCTTCCTGACAACCACTTGAAACTTCAACTGGTGCAGAATGTGGCTGCTTGTTAATTACTAGCATACCTTTCTGGGGACCTACTTATGCATCTGTTCCAGAACCTGTGTGAGCTTCCACTTTTATCTTTGGGATAAAGCCAAAGCAAAGCTTTATCTTTGGGATAAAGCAAGCCAGTGTATTGATTTTGATCTATATACCCTTTATGGTTTGGGTCCTGCACATTTTAGAGATGGCCTTTCTCTTTGTATCCAACCCTGAAAGTATTACTTTCCCATTAGTCTGTTAGAGCTCATCTTTGTTGAACCTTCAGGACCATTGCAAAACTTGTTTGTGTATCGGGCCCTATTTTAGAGAGATTGCTAAATGGGAAAAGTCTTAGCCCTTATGGATGTAGTTAATATTGAGAGGGGTTAGTGTTGATTAATGGGTCAAGAAGAATTTGTTTACAAAGTGAATTATGTGTTAAAGCCTTGGGTAGCCACACTTATAAAATAAATAAAAACTTCCCTTTCCCCTTCACACACTTTACCGACCCAAATAAAAACCTTCTTTCACTTACCCAGTGAGAAGAAAAAATATTGCAGTGTTACCTCTCATTTCTCTACAAACAGTCCAGAAACACTGTCCCATAGTCATCACTCTGGTAAGGATAGCAAAGCTTATTCTGCCACCACCATCCTCCAGAATATGTACTGATTTATAATACACCACCTGTTCTTAACTTCCTGATATGACTGAGTCTGCACCATAAATTTATTGGATGAAGAGGTGGAATATGACATCAATATTTTAAAATAACTATTCAAATGTTTGAAAGTCAAGTTCCCAAAAACTTTTAAAATCACACATTCTAACATTTTAATGTATCTGAAATCTATTTATTGTACAACTATTCTTAATGAAGATTTTATCTGAGGAATTGTTCCCTTTATTGTGAATTAAGCTTGATTATCATCCTACATGTATTTTACAGGAACTTAAAATGTTGGATCGATATAGTAATTGTTACACATACCCCAGGTTTTATCCAAGTCACAGTCTAGCACAGCTGTTTCTCCTATTGGGATAGCAATTTTCTTAAATGAAACATTGTTGTCTTTAGACATTTCACAGTTTAAATGAAACCTTTTGAGAGACAACAGAGATTGTTCACTGCAGAAGATACTCCACTTTTTCCTCAAGGTTTCAGAAAGAAAACTAATAAAATGTTTGAAAGCAATGAACCTGCAGTCACATATCCAGGGATTGTTTGATAAATCCACTTCAGATTGAAGTATGTTCAAGTCAATGAATATCGCTGGTAGAAGGGTTGTCATAGCATTGTTGCTGAGGTTCACAACCTATTTGAAAATAAGTTACTCAAAATTAATTTATAAAGAGCTGTATAGAGCAGAAGTTCTCAAACTGTGGTGCATGGACCACCAGTGGTCTGCGAGCTCCATTCAGTTGGTCACCGGATAGTTCCCTCTAAGGTGCATGCCTGGGCAGCCGCACACAAGAGAATGAAGGGTCACCCACCTAATTAGTGGAGCCACGCCTGTGCAGCCCCACTAATTAAGTGCCTGGACCCTGGAAAAGACGCACATATAAGGTGAGATGGTGGCCTTGGTGGGAAGAGAGGGTAGGTGGGAAGGGGCAGTGGGGTGAGAAGAGGGGGTGGGGGGAATATGGGGTGTGCAGGGCTGCAGCAGCCAGAGAAAGAGGTGACTTTCCCCAGCTCCAGGATTGCAGCTGCTGTGGCGAGACCCCCCTCCTTCCCAGCCCCAGCTCAGGGGCTGCTGCGGTCAGGGAGGGAGGGAGAGATCCCCCTCCTTCCCAGCCCCAACTCAGGGGTTGCCACAGCAGGGAAGACCCCCCCCTCCTTCCCAGCCCCAGCTCAGGGGCTGCTGTGGTGGAGAGGGCACATCCATCGCATTAGAAAGGTAAGACTACTGTTCATGAAGCAGACACTGACAGGAGAAAAATCCTGAGACATATGCACTGAACTGAGGGCTTAATTCTGGAAATACATGGGTTGGCCACTTAGATGGGTTTGCGTGTACATATGCTGTAAAAGCAGTGTTAAAATACACCCATATAAAATACATCCATATTTTGGTCAATAGTAGGCCCATGCACATTGCTTGTGCTTTTAATCTTTGTGTGTGTGTGTGTGTACAGGCCATTGCCATGGTTCATGTAGCCTAAGCAATGCCCAAAGCACTTTGCCTCCTGTTAAATTTGGTCCAAATTGCAAGTGAACCCATAAAGGGCTCTGTTCTGATACTTGTTTTCCACTTAATTTAAAAAGAGCTGTGTAACATGCACACTCACTTAAATTATGCAGTTATTGATATTCTATCACCTTGAAATTGGTATGTAAGCACATGTCCTAATAATGGTTAGGATTAGGAAATATATAAAGAGTGGAGTTAGCCCAAAAGAGAAGATGAAAGGTTTGCCCTTGATAACTGGAACACTTATGGAGGTTTACAAGAAAAAATAATCTGCATATTTTATGACTTCCCCCAGATAGCTGTGGGTTAAAGCTGTTGTCACAAGACTGTTTGAGGATTTTTTCAGATATACCCCATTTTCTTTAGATTAAGTTTTACACTTGTAGACTGATGATTGTGAATTAATTTCTTATTGCTTAAGAATTATGGCACTTAATGTCCTTAAATATTCTATGCACACCATTTTCATTTGGAAAATTATAATGCCACATTTACAACCTGCAAGTTTTTGAGATTCTTGAAGGCACCAGGATGAATTTTGCTTATCTTGTTGGTCTGTAAGTAGATGTTCCTTAGCTGGGAACAGTCTTGAAAATCACTCTGATCAATCTGTGATATCTCATTGGATGACAGATGCAGACTTTGTAAAGATTGCAGCTTCCCTAGTCCTGAAAATACAAAAAAAATTGTCTAACAGACACATAAAGCCCAAAGTGCTTTCCCAATGTTTCACCAATTCCATCTGATGATAATGGTTTTCTGTTTTCTTAACAACTATAGCAACCATTTGTAATATCCAGTAATTAAAACAAACTCTTTTAATTACTGGATATTACAAATGGTTGCTATAGTTTTTGGTTTATAATGCATATTCTATTCAGCATTATTGTCTTATTTTTAAAAGGGTACAGATTATCAATACCATCTTTTAGTAAATCAATAACATCTGAAATGTTTTGGTAAATCAATAACATCTGAAATGTTCTTTCCAATGTGCGAGTTCATTAAACTAGTAACATTCCTTAGTGTTGTCAAAAATGTGCATATTTCCCATCTGCTGCCTGCTGTAGCTTCATGCAATTTATAATTTTTAATTTGCCTAGTGAAACATAACTAGTTGTGGACCACCTGAGCTCCAGAAAAAAACAAAACAAACTGTGTGCTATCAGTCTTAAATTTGTGTGAGTGTGAATAGGTTATCCGGTCATCCGATGAAGTGAGCTGTAGCTCACGAAAGCTCATGCTCAAATAAATTGGTTAGTCTCTAAGGTGCCACAAGTACTCCTTTTCTTTTTGCGAATACAGACTAACACGGCTGTTACTCTGAAATCTGTCATAGGTTATATGAGTATCTCTGGCTTCAAAGCATATGCACTAAGTGGCTTCAAAGGGATGCTTAAGTTAAGATGTGCTTCCCTGCTTGGGGCACAGAAGGGATTTAGCTCAGGTGTAAAACTTTTCAAAACACCAAGTCCAATTCTCAAAAGTGACTTAAACACTTAAAAGCCTAAGGCAAAGTCTACACTGGAGCTGGAGGTGTAATTTCTAGCTCAGATATACATACCTGCTCTAGCTCTGATCCTAGCATGCTAAAACTAGAAGTATAGCAGCCCTGGCACGAGTGGCAGGACAAGTTAGTGGCTCGAGCACGAACCTGAGGTTTCAGAGAGGATTGTACTTGAGGCAGCTATCCTCTATTTCTAGTGCGCTAGCTACATCAGAGCTAGATGGGTATGTCTACCTGAGCTAGAAATTGCACCTCCATCTGCAGTGTAGAGACACCCTAAGTCTCACTGAAAGTCACTGGGACTTAGGCATGTAGGAGAGCCTAAGTAACTTTTGAAAATGTTACCCCAGAGCTCATACAGCTCATTAGATCCCTACGTGAGAAAACCCTTGGGCTGAATGAACAGTTGCTCAATCCCACCCTCTGGAACCATTGTGAAAAGTAATTCCATTCCTACCCAGGTGCTGACTTGTCCATTCCTACAGTAAAGTCAACCAAGTCTTGTCATTGGTATCAAAGCTCTGTCTTATTTATAATAATTAACATGAACATTTGAACCTTTGTCCTTTTGATAAGAGGAGATTGTGACTTTGCACTCCATATGCTTTATGAAAATATGCTTGGAATGTGAATATAATGAAACTGGAATATACTTTATGCAAAAGGTCTCTTGTAAGGTATCATTACAAAGCTTATAATCTACTGAGTGTGTTCATCCTATTTGTATGCATGTATCATTCTTGTATCTAAAACTAGAAATATGAAGTTAACTCTGAGGTCCTATTGTAATTATGCAAAGTGTGGGCCATTAATGGTGGCTTAGGAGCTTGATGGCTCCCATTAACTAGAACAATTGGTTGTAAATGGCTCTGTTTACTTGTAAGACTTCCTGTGTTTGTGTGAGTCAGGCCAGAAAGAATGGAGTCTTTGGGTCTCACAGTACATGTGACCGTGTCCCCTGGTACTGGAATCCATCTTAAACCTGGTGCTTTTCCATTTAGAAAGAGGGGTGGGGACCCAGAGAGACAAAGGATTCCCGCCTTGTGCCAAAGATATAAAAAGGGGTGGAACAGAACAAAGGGGGCTGCCAGTCATGAGAAATCCCCTAGTTATCACCTGAGCTGGGACTAACAAGAACTATACCAGGGGAAAGGGTTGGGCCAGACTAAGAAGGAGTCTAGTCTGTGAAAGAAGCTTATTGGAACATCTCTGAGGGTGAGATTTACCTGAATTCAGTTTCTTAACGTATTAGGCTTAGACTTGCGTGTTTTGTTTTATTTTGCTTGGTAACTTACTTTGTTCTGTTATTACTTAAAACCACGTAAATCCTACTCTTTATACTTAATTAATAAACAAAAGTGATTTTATTAACCCAGAGTAAGTGATTAATACCTGGGGGAGTAAACAGCTGTGCATATTTCTCTATCAGTGTTATAGAGGGCGGACAATTTATGAGTTTACCCTGTATAAGCTTTATACAGAGTAAAACAGATTTATTTGGGGTTTGGATCCCACTGGGAGCTGGGTGTCTGGGTGCTGGAGATAGGGGACTTGTTGAGCAGTTTTTGATTAAAGTCTGCAGCTTTGGGGGCATGGACCAGAGATGGGTCTGTGTTGCAGCAGGTTAGCGTGTCTGGCTCAGCAAGGCAGGGTTCTGGAGTCCCAAGCTGGCAGGGAAAATGGGCTCAGAGGCAATTCCAGCATGTCAGATGACAGCTTCAAGGGGTTCTCTGTGACCGAACCCATCACAGAGATCTTCAAACAGAGAAACTTACATAGTCTCCTTTCTGTACTCAGGTCAGAAATGCCAGGCTTCCAGAAATGCTGCTTCACTGTCACTTTAAGTAATGTCCCTACAGGGCAGGTTAGAATCAGGGCAATAACTTAGGTGTTTTCTTGAACAATAGATAGCAGGAGGTTTTCCTGAACAGGGCCTAACAGCTTTTAATAAAGATGGCACCCTGCCTTCCTTAACAGAAGCATTAATGATGTCTTAGCAGTAGACACGATATATCCTTGCTCATGTCCACTAGCCATGAGGGACATGTGTCTGACTTACAGGAAGTGGCCTCTAAAGAGATATTCAGCAGTGCTTAGGATTGGCCTAACTCTGCTCCCAGTGAAGTTAATGGAAATTTTACCATTCACTTTATCATTGACTTCAATGAAAACACAGTTAAGCCAACCCTAAGCACTATTGAAAATCCCTCCCTGAAGCTGTCCTATCACTTCTAGCACCTTGTTAGATGAAACTGGCCAAAACTCAACCAGAGAGAAGTTGGACATGGCATTTGTCCCCACCAGATATGGGGGGTGCCTCAACTGAAATGGCCAAATCAGGCTGATTCTTATTTTAACTGGGAAGATAGAAACCTGTTCAGAGTAAGAAATGTTCACAATATGCTTCACGGCAAAAGCAGCTTTGCTATATCAGAATGTGCATTATGTGATCTAGTTCGGTTGAGCAAGATCCTCTGGATGATATATTGACGGAGAAGAAAACTTTTTTTGCTTCTGTGACAGCAACAGCACAGAATTTAAAATATCCATTCAAAAATTATTTATCCTCTGAACCACAAACTCTAATGACACGAGGGTTCTGAATTCCACCTGCTACATTGTTGTTACTATGCCGAATTGTAATGTCACTGCATATTCAGTGAAAAGGGTGTCAACCTCAGCCAACTCTGATCAGTTTCTATTCAGAAGATCTGTAGGACAGTCACTTGGAATTCTCTGTACAACTTTATGAAGAACTTTATTGGTTGGCTACCCCCTTGAGGATATGGCTACCTAGAAACTTTTCCCAGTATAGCAAATGTCAGTTAGGGGTGTGATTTTTGTGTGTGTCTGTGACATTGATGTGCCTACAAAAGCCCTACTGTAGATGCAGATATACTGGCATAAAAGGGCATTTGCTGATAAATGCACTTTTTTTTTTTTGCCAGTATAAGCTGCTTCTAAACTAGGGAGGCTTTGGCAAAGCTTTTCTAGTGTAGACCAAACCTCTAACAAGAATTAATGCTTAGCCTCTCCTACTACAAAACCTACTTATGAGGTGAGAGATCCCTAGGTCTACCCTCCCCCATTCAGCAATTTTATTTTATTTTTAGGATACCTTTATTTTGTTTTCTATGTTTATTGAGGAGTTCCTTGGTCTTCTCTATAATTAAAAATCAATTTTAAATGCTTATCTTTTAAAAAAAGTTTTCTGTTTATGGTATATTTACTTTGTATCCCCTGCTACTTCCAGTGATATTTGAATGTTCCAATATTGCTATTGTTTGGATTTTTATATTCACAGAGAAAGATAGTGGAGCAATTCAGGCTTCAGGCTAGTCAAGGCTCTTAAAGTATTTCTCTTTGGAGAAACAATGCCTGTAATTGGTTCACTGATCACCATATGCCCACCTACCTCTCCTTCAAGCTGAAGGTTCCATACCCACTTTTTGTTGCATCTCGCTAAACAAAGATTTATTTAGTTTGTATCCACCATTTAGTTTGAAAGGAACTGATGACAGAATGCAGTGTCCCTGGCTGAAGCTACTAGCGCAGAGCTGAGATCTGGGAGTTCCCTATCCAGTCTGTGGCACACTGGCCAAATAGCAATCTGCTGCAGTTAGGTATTTTTGGAAAATGACTATTAAAGGCAAGTAATTATTTCCTCTTGATGTCTTAAATATCAAACTTTAATGCAATGTTGTTACTGCACATTTATTATTTAATTATTTGAATTGCAGGAGCACATAGAGGCCCTCTTGTGCATGTACTTTGCACATACACAATGAAGACAATTGCTGCACCAAAGAGTTTACAATCTGTGTACATTCATATTTATGCATTTATTCTTGTGGAAAGACTTGTAGCCTCCATTTGCTTATCTGAAGGACTTGGGCACAATTCCCCTTCAAATCACATGATTCAAGCAAGAGCCATGTGTGACAAACTACCATATAGCCACATTCTTCCAGGGAGTGTAATGTTAAGTATTCTATTCAGGTAGAAGGCACCATCACTCTACTCCTTAAGTAAGTGTGTGCTAGCAGCCATTCACTGATGCTGTCTCATTGTTAGGACTGGAGGGTTCGGAAAGGGGAGAGGAACTGCCAATAAAGTGTGAGTTACTTGTTGCAAAAGTTGCAGAAAAGAGGTCCATTTGTC